AGGACCTTCCATCTACTGCCAGCCAGCCGAGCTAGAATCTGAATTGGTGTCACTGTTTCACTCATCATGAAGAGTTTACATTTGGTTTGGGACTCTGGTGCGTGAGGTTATGGATGTAAAGTCAGAAGAGATATGGCTACTGTAATGTCTGCGGAGATTCTTGTGTCGATAAGGTCAGCAGCAAGTTAATAGATTTTTATCTTCTCATCACATGAACTTAATATAGTGTAACTGTGTGAGGGGAGAAAACCGCCCCACCAATTTCTCCCTCTTGCCATTGTTTCCCAATACGTTTAGGGTCCATGTTAAAAAAAAAGTTATTTCTTCGTTCTGTATTTTGATTCAGGCAAAATTAACTTACGTTGCAGTCCTGTACACACTTACCTTTAGGTAAAACTGATAGAACTCTGTGGGACTGACTTCTGAGTAGACATGCATAGGATTGCGTTGTTAGACTTAAATGCTAATAAACTGTCAAGACATTTACACCTATTGGGACATGAATAATGAACTGCTGGTAGACAAACAAGTTTATAACTCATATGTACTTTATAGATAGTGTTTAACAATTATAATAACAAGCTCTGCCTCCTTTAATTAGGTTTTCTTCAGGGAGAGCTTTTCAGGTTTCAGTCTGGCAAAGGCAAGACTCGTAAGTAGTCTTAAAGAACTTTCATATAGACCCTGTCTGCACTATACGTTTAAAGCACTATAATGCCACTTTAAACAGCCAAGGCTTCCCCCAAAGAATTCTCAGAAGTGTAGATTGTTAAGGTGCTGAGATATGTTAGGAGAGCCCTATTCCTCTCACAGAACTACAATTCCTAGAGTTCCCCGGGAAGAGGGACTAACTGTTAAACCACTCTGAGAATTGTAGCTGTGAGGTACCGGTAAATAGGGTCGCCTAACAACTCTCAGCACTCTTAACAAACCACACTTCCCAGGATTCTTTGGGGAAGCCATGACTGCTTAAAGTGACACAATACTACTTTAAAGGTAAGGGTAAAGGTAAAGGACCACTGGATGGTTAAGGCAACTATGGGGTGCAGTGCTCATCTCGCTTTAGGCCAAGGGAGATGGCGTTTGTGCACAGACAGCTTTCCAGGTCATGTGGCCAGCATGACTAAACTGCTTCTGGTGCAACGGGACACCGTGACAAGTGCCAGAGCGCATGAAAGCACCTATTTATCTACTTGCACTGATGTGCTTTCAAACTGCTATGTTGCCAGAAGCTGGGATACAGCAATGGGAACTCACCCCATCACGCGGATTCAAACCGCCAACCTTCCGATCAGCAAGCCCAAGAGGCTCAGTGGTTTAGATCACAGTGCCACCCGCTCCCTGCTTTAAATGTATTGTACAGATGGGGCCATAAACCCAAGGCTATGTTTCAAACAAGCAAACCAACAGCAACATTTGCTGTGACTGCTTTTTAAATAAGCATAGTAATAGTATTAGAACATGTTGGTTTGTTTCAAAACCAAACCAAATCCAAAAGCCTAAGATATTTGTTTACTTTATATATTTCTCATCCTTTCTCCAAGTGATTCAGGGCAGTATCCCTGATTCTTTCTCTTCCCTACTTTATTTGCACAACAGTCATGTCAGGTAGATTAGGCAGAGAGAGAGAGGGGGGGGGGAACATGGCACAACGTCAGTCATGAGCATTGTGGTTGAGTAGAGATTTGAATGTGAGGGAAGGGGATTGGTGAAGGTTCCCCCTGCTCTACCTAAAGGGCAAACCTGGTTCTTTTTCTTGCCAGATTGCTGGTATCACCAACCATGCAGATGGTTGCACGTTGCAGGATGGGTTGAGCCTGCATGTCCCAGAACCCCCTTGTGCACCCCTTTCAGTCCAACTGTGTAGGATATTTTTAATCTAAAAATGTCTGCCTGCTTTCACCTTTATGTACCTTTATGTATTCTGTGACTTCACCAAGTAGTCCACATGCTTAAAAGCACATTTCTCAACCATGAGGACTAGAAAGTTGATTCTTGTTTTAAATGAGAGAGATTCTAGGGCTGGTGAGTTCTGTGGGCAATATTTCATTCTGTAGCTTCCCTACACAGCCGTGGCATGGCCCAGCCCAAAGATATTCTCACAAGATTCTCTACACCGATCTCATATAATCTCTAGCCAAATAAGGATTTTGTTATATATGGGAGAGAGCCTATCTTTTTCTTTTCTGTGGCTGGTATATATAACAAAGCAAAAGAATGAGAGAGCTCTTCGATGGAGCTTTCAACAAAAGCAAGTCAATTTACTTAAGCAGTGCCAAAGAAATGATGAGCGCTCTGCCGCTGCTATGCTACCTTGTGTGAAACAGAAGCAGAACCAGAGGCTCAGTGTTTGTTTCTTTTTGCACTTGCATGCATGAAGAAGCTGGGGCCCCAGGTGAGAGTTGGCAAATTTCACCAAAAACATTGACACAAGGGGTGAACATGCTGATGAATGGAAAAGATACTAGCGGAGTGGAGCGGGGTGTGGTGGGGGTGTGGAAGGAAGGTGAGAAGTATGGAGCAGAGGTTCCCAGACTTATTTGGCCTACCGCCTCCTTTTCAGAAAAAAACCAACAACTCAGTGCCTCCCTGGAAATCTACCTTATTTAAACAAACAAACAAACGGAAATATGCAGTGACAAATTTGTGTTCTTTTATGTATCTATATTTCTACCTACGTCCTGCAATAGTAAAGAAAGATTAAGAAGTCACTATGGGGTGGACCAGAGTGAAGCCTGCTGGCTTAGTCCGACCCGACCCAGGGGTGGGGTAAGCGCTGTAGCCTGCCTACCATTGGCTAAATAGTCAGGCAAGCTATGATCCACTTCCCAGGCCTGAGTGAAGCAAAAAAGGGACTCCCCCATGCCTATGCCTATGCCTATGCCCATGCCCATGCCCATGACCATGCCATAGCTTTGGATTTTTACAGAGAGCAAGGCCAGTCTCTTTGTGTCTCTTTTTCCAGCTCCAGCCCCAAGACTGTATCCCAAACTGCAAGCTAACTTGTTTCCTCTTCCTGGCCAGGCAGAGGACAAAACAGTGAGTCATTCCCCACACACATAACACACACCTTTGCCCATTCACAAATGTAGCAGCTGCACTAGTAATGCAAGGACATGCCCAGGCATGACTGGGCTAAAGTCTTGCTGGACTAGTACCTGTGCTCTTGCTAATCCTGGGTCTTTTTCTAGTCAGTGTCACTGAGCTGGAGGTGTGTGAGCTCCGTGAGAGATCATTCAAACACCCCCTGACCCAGATTTGTGACCAAATGCACTCTCCGCAAGAGGTTTAAGCAAATTGTGATTCCCCAATGTGTATGTGGCTACAATGCAGCATTTGTTTGTTGTGTTCACACTTCACATTTTTAGCATACACTTGAAACATTTCGGTTATATATCTAAAAATATACACAAAGTAGCCCCTAGAATGATGTTACTTCCTTCATCTCTCGACTCCAAAAATGGCTGCCCTCCTCGAGGGCTACTTCTTCTCCCTCTACCTCTTTTTGTTTGGCATCTGTTGTTGTAACCAATACAGAGGCAACTGGGTTGGTGGGGGCAGTGGTGGATGTTCCTGTCATCCCTTCCTTCTTTCATAAAGGTAAAGGTAAAGGTACCCCTGCCCGTACGGGCCAGTCGTGACCGACTCTGGGGTTGCGTGCTCATCTCGCTTAAGAGGCTGGGAGCCAGCGCTGTCCGAAGACACTTCCGGGTCACGTGGCCAGCGTGACGAAGCTGCTCTGGCGAGCCAGCACCAGCGCAGCACACGGAAACGCCGTTTACCTTCCCGCTATAAAGCGGTACCTATTTATCTACTTGCACTTAGGGGTGCTTTCGAACTGCTAGGTGGGCAGGAGCTGGGACCGAACGACGGGAGCTCACCCCGCCATGGGGATTCGAACCACCGACCATACGATCGGCAAGTCCTAGGCACTGAGGTTTTACCCACAGCGCCACCCGCGTCCCTAATCCTTCTTTCATAGTTGGTTGTTAACTCCTTCTGTGCAACTGCAGCCCTGGGACAAATATCCCGTGATGGTCTTGAGAAGATTGTAGAGCTTAGGTCCCTTCCTCCTAGCTCCCAGCCTGCTGCTGATCAGACACATTCCAAGTTTTACAGCAATCTGTGCCTAGTACATTTCAGATCCAGCCCTGAAATCCATCCACCATCTCTTGTCATCAGTAAAAATCCATGAAAGGGACACTGTTGGGTCAGACTGACTGGTAGGCCTCAGTGATCAAACGTGTCACACCTGTCTTGGCCACTAGTTCAGGTGTTCTAGGTCAGCTCTCGCTGTGGTTATCAATCGCTGACAGTTGACAGTTTAATTTTACACCACAAGTACCTCATTACTTGTGTAGGCACTTGAAGAACATGTGGGCACTGGATTGGATCAGTGATCAATGACAAAGGTTGCAGAGGGTGCAAGTGGTAGCTGTAAAAGTGAAGGTCTCCGTGCATGAGTTGGCAGTGGTAGGGATACATGACAAGGGGAGTTTAACTGACAAACAGTCTGTCAGGTCGAAAGGAATGGAGAATTGCCAGAGAGCTGGCTGCACGTTATAAAATACAACGCATGTTTTCAAAGGGAGAAGAAAGAAAAAGGTCCTGCTTTGAAGGGGAGTGGTGGAATGGGGTGTTGTTGCTAAACAAATGTTAACTGATGTAGGGATCTGATTTTTTTTAAAAATAATTCCACTACAGTTATTCATTTTGTGACACAGAGACATCTAGGTGCTTAAGAGGTTTTGTTTTAATTAAAGGCAGGATGCCATTTTGTAAGGAGACATGCAGGTGTTCTAGGATAAAACGGTAGTGCTGCTTTTAAGAAGAAACGGCAGTCCCATGGCAATTTCACTCCTTTCCTTCTGAAACAACTAGTACTACTTACCCCTCTGTCCTGTAACTGTTACGTTGTGTGCAAGTAGCAGCCAGAGATGTGGAGCATGGACAGAGTCACAAATGTCTCATGACAGTGGGACCCTGTGGGAAGGAGTGGCGAAGGGCTGTAGCTCAGTGGTGAAGCATCTGCTTTGCATGCAGAAGGTCCCAGGTTCAATCCCCAGAGTCTTCAGGCAGGGCTGGGAAATAGCCCTGACTGAAACACTGGAGAGCCACATTTAGTGTGGATAGTGAGCTGGAAGGGCCAATGGTCTGACTTGATATAGGGCAGCTTCCTATGTAGGTCTGGATTTTACAAAATAAGAAGCCACATCCTAACAGACCATAATTTTTAGCTCCATGTCTTTCAAATAATGATGCTGGTAGCACGGTGTTACAAAGAAAGAGAATTTGGCTTAGTGCTATTTTTGGCAACATTGGGCCGCATAACATGTGCTAATTTGCTTCAGATTCATAACTTTAAGAGACTCTTGCCAAAACATGTTAAATAAATAAATAAATTAATAAATATTGACTACTGTATATCAAAAAGGAAAGGAGAAGTGGATCTGTGCCCCCAGATGGTTCACAGTTCCATTCAGGAAATATCTTCAGTTAATAGAAATGCTAAAATTATGCAACTGCTGTCTTGGAATATATTGCATTTGCTTGCATTTGCAATCATGCTTGTAGGTATTATATACCGCTTCTCAGCTGGACTTCACAAAGTGGTTTACAAAAGACTACAGTGGTACCTCGGGTTAGGAACTTATCATAGAATCATAGAGTTGGAAGAGACCACAAGGGCCATCGAGTCCAACCCCCTGCCAAGCAGGAAACACCATCAGAGCACTCCTGACTTAATTCATTCTTGAGGTCCGTTCTTAACCTGAAACTGTTCTTAACCTGAAGCACCACTTTAGCTAATGGGGCCTCCTGCTGCTGCTGTGCCACCGGAGCACGATTTCTGTTCTCATCCTGAAGCAAAGTTCTTAACCTGAAGCACTATTTCTGGGCTAGTGGAGTCTGTAACCTGAAGAGTATGTAACCTGAAGCATATGTAACCTGAGGTACCACTGTATTACAAAAGACTATTGCAACAATGAAAAGTTCTGTCAGGATGAGATTAGGATGTACCAGGTATCCAGCTCAGCTGGCTGATTACCGGCTTGTCCCCACCCCGGCTCAGTTGAAGATATGTAAGCATAATTTGCTCATGCAAGGTGAGCCAGCTGATCTAAGGCTTGTATAATTCCAAAAAGGGGTGTGTGACAGAGCCAGGGCCTGAGAGCGGGGACTTAGGCTGGATCCTTAGCCCATTTAGCTCTATTTTAAAAACACTATTTAAAGTCTTGTTTTCCTTGCTAGGTTTAGGCAGATAAGTGGCAGCCTAGCTGCTGAATGGGGTTTCCAGTAGGTGTAATTTTAAGATGGCTTAATTTACACTGTCTTACTTTATGGCAGCTTCTTGTGCATAGGAGTGCTCCCTAAGCCCCCCCCCCCTTTTAAATGTCATAATAAAAGGGAAGCAGAATGGTTGTTTTAGAACAAGTTGCAATTGCTTCTTCCCACCATTTGGGGCAAGATTGTCCTTCAGAAGCCCCTATGGGGACAGTAGGGGGAGGGGAAATACCACTGGGAATGGATGGGGGCTGTTCCATTTCTGAAGCTCTCTCTGGGTGTACTACTCCATGCATGCAGGAAGGTACCGGGGATGAACCTGTTGGGTCTGCCCTTTCTGGAAAGCAAACCTCTGTGATACGGAGACTCTACTCAGGCTTCCAACTTGCACATAAAGCCTCCAGAAGTAGGATGTGTTCCTCTAGTCCTCTCTGTCTGGCTCATCACACCCCTCCATGGGCCGCACTCTTTATGCCATCCCTCTTTCATGCACTTTTGCGAGGCTTAAATGTTCTCTTGTCTTCTATTTTATTTAGTTATTTATTTAAATCATTTCTATACAGCTTCAGTTTACCAAAGGAATCTCTCAGCAGTTTTACTTGCTGGAATAGAGAATGGAGGTATGTGTGTAGAAACCTCTGGCTTTGGCATGGCTGGAATGTACTCTACCATACAAAGGGAGGAGTCACTTCCATTTATCTGACCCTACCCATTTTTGCTTCCAGCCCCATCAGTCACTGGCATGTGGCCCCCGCTAAGGTTCCACACAAGTGGGCAAGTCCCTTGGCATGAAAAAGGTTCCCAATCCTTGGTGTAAAGTAACTCATTCTGGAAATATACGAAATTGTTTATTTATTGAACATATGTATGCACTGCCCTTCATCATATTAGAATCCTGGGAGGTGTGAAATCATAAAAGGAAAACATACAGTAAAATGACGGAAAATAGAGGATGAAAGCAGCAAGCGGAACCTTAAAAACAGACTTAATTGATAATGCATTAATTAAATGCTCATGTAGATGTAGATGGTTTTGCCTGGTGCCTAAATAATAGCAATGTTGGTGCCAGGCAAACCTCTTTGGGGAGGGCATTTCATAGCAGGGACATGTTGCCAAAAACAGCCCTCTTCCTAGTTGATGTCTGGCACATCTCAGTTGAAAGAAGTATATGGAGAAGCGCTTTGGCAGATGATCTTAAAAAGGAGGCAGCTTGATATGGGAGTTGGCACTCCTTCAGGCATTTGAGTCCCAAACCATTAAGGGCTTTAAAGGTAAGGGCCAGCACTTAAAACTGGACTTAGAAGTGAATTGGCATAACGTGAGCCAAAAGGGCCGTGTCAATTAGAATTCCAGCAGCAACTGAAGCTTCTAAATCTTCAAACAATAATGCATGGCTAATTTGCACAGTGCAATCCTATGCATGTTTACATTGAATTGAGTTCCATGGAGTTTGATGGAGTTCACACCCAAGTATGTTGCAACACAATTCAGAAGTCCTGCTGTGGTTAGTGGAGATTGCTTCCAGGTAAGAGTTCGCTGTGGGTAAAACCTCAGCGCCTAGGACTTGCCGATCGCATGGTCGGCGGTTCGAACCCCCGCGGCGGGGTGAGCTCCCGTCGTTTGGTCCCAGCTCCTCCCACCTAGCAGTTCGAAAGCACAATTAAGTGCAAGTAGATAAATAGGTATCACTTCCTAGCGGGAAGGTAAACGGCGTTTCCGTGTGCTGCTCTGGTGCCGGTTCGCCGGAGCAGCTTCGTCACGCTGGCCACGTGACCTGGAAGTGTCTGCGGACAGCGCTGGCTCCCGGCCTCTAGAGTGAGATGAGCGCACAACCCTAGAGTCTGTCAAGACTGGCCCGTACGGGCAAGGGTACCTTTACCTTTACCTTTAAGAGTTCACAGAATTGCAGCCATGAGCATCTTTCTAAAGTTTTGCCTCTTATATTCCTTTTCTTTGGGTTGTTGCCAGCCCCCTCTTTCTTCTCTGTCTGTAATTGCCCAACAGTGATAGTCTATGTAAAATCATATATGGGATGACTGGGACATATGTCAGTTGATCATGTCTTCTGATTTACCGAGGACAGTCTATTTTGAAGGAGTTCTCTTCTTGAAGGGCCGCTGGGTCCAAGTGTGATGTAAGTTCAGATTAAAGATACATGAACCATAAGAAGGAAGAGGAGGAGGAGCAATTAGCACCTAGATGGAAGACTTAGCAGGCACATAGGTCACCTGGTCACAGTTTCCCTTACCATCATGAGATGTATGACATTTCTATTTAACTTGGTGTAATTATTTCTTAGTTTGCATATGTGTGTGTGCACAAAACTATGTCCTCTTTTTTGTGGGGGGGATGCATATGGAGGCACCCTAAACATGTGGAAGAAAAGAGCTGGTTAATCCAAGACATGTAGGCTATTTTCCACAGTGTGAGGTGTTGACCTTTACAACAATCCCATCTCGCATCACGATTCTCGGAATATGGTAGAACTGATTGTTTTAACTTAAGGTACAATTTGACTTAGCAGCGAGTGCGGCTATTTTTCTATCTGAAAGATCTTTGCCGTTATGCTAAATAAATGGAATTTTATGTTCATTATTCAAAGAGAAAAAGTGGCTTTTCTTTTTTTCTAGCTATAGCTTTTGTTTTCACTCTCTTCCACAAAATTTGGCCGTTATTGTTCTGCAGATATATATATACATGTATGAGAGGTATGTGTGTGTATGTGTACATAATCGCCTGGTATCATGAGAACTTTATGGGTTTTGTGCAAAGTAGCCAAACTGATTAAAGGCAATTGGGCAAAGAAAAAAACAAAAGCCTTTGCATTTCCAGTCTAAGAACTTAATGTGCTCCCTTTGAACCCAATGGGATTTAAATACATCCAAGTAGTAAACCCTTGAAAAATGTGGTTTATGATGGAAATGCTGTGGGACTCTTTGCTGCAGTGGGCCTGTGGAGCAACAGTATATTACCTAGTCCAGCTTGCTTCCCCCCTTTATACGGATATGACATGTTAATCATGAAGTTGGGGCAATTTATGCTTGCTAATGTTTGAAATTGGAGATGGCCTTCTGGGCATTGAAAGACTGTGCTTGTGTGTGAGTGTGTGTCAGTGACATGCCAGCAATGAGTGTGAAATATTTTCTTGAATATGAGCTTTTGAGTTTTCAAGGGGCCAATTCTATAACCGATGTAAAGCATTGTTAGCACCATTAGCACCAGTGTACATTTGGTACCCATGAACATTTTTTAAACTTAATGTGAGAAATGTAATAGTGAAAAATCTTTGCTATATTTACAATTTAAGATTGTAAATTAAAGATCAGCTACTAGATACCCAGGGCTAACGACACGTACAACCACATGCTTCCCTCAAAGACCAATCCTGAGGCAGAAGAGCCCTAAAGTGGCTTGCAAACAAGGGACAGTGTCCAATGAAATGCTTCCAGTAGCACAAGGATTGTAAATTAAAGATCAGCTACTAGATACCCAGGGCTAACGACACGTACAACAACATGCTTCCCTCAAAGACCAATCCTGAGGCAGAAGAGCCCTAAAGTGGCTTGCAAACAAGGGACAGTGTCCAATGAAATGCTTCCAGTAGCACAAGGACTTTTAGCTGTGCAACTGAGTTTCCCTTCCCTCTCAACTCCCTATGAGCCCACCATGCATCCTCTAAATTTGTTCTAGGGTTCTCCTAACCCCCTGGAGCAGATTGGAGAAGGGTATGGTGAGTGCTTAGGAAGAGGAGAGAGAGAAGTTCCAAGCAGAAGCACTTCATTGGGTATCACC